CAAGTAAATAGCCCCGAACAAAATTTAGCATTTTAGTAAAATATCAACACCTTATAAAGTTGGTTAGATCCTTTCATTTTAAATCAAGGCTCACTATCTCATTCTAAAGCGAATGCTTTTTTGCGACTACATTTCTAAATAATGGAACACCTTCACCCTGATTTAAAGTTATAGTGCAATGGCATTTACCGTAATTAAAAGCCTAGTGTGAGGACATTTTTCTCCTTTATTGAAGGCGGAAATGAAGTCTTATCATTGAAAATGATTCAATGGGCAGTTGAGGGTCTCTCTCCCCTGTCCTTCAAAACCATATTTAAGGCCACAACAGCCGAGGCGAGGGAGGGAGGAAGAGAAGCTAAGGAGCATTGGAGAAGGCGAAGAGGATCAGAGAGGGAGAATGTCGTGGCAAACCTACGTCGACGAGCACTTGATTTGCGACATTGAGGGCCAGCGGCTAACGGCGGCGGCAATCATGGGCCACGATGGCAGCGTTTGGGCACAGAGTGCTTTGTTTCCTCAGGTAACAATCGAACCTCCTCCCCATCCGGTTCTAGTTTTCCAAATTGATCTTGTAGTGGTGGATCGGGTATGCGATCTTCGATTTTCATTTGGATGAATGAGATGATCTTTGCGGGTTATTCGATCCTCGCAAACTGAGTTGTTCGAGTCTCGTTCATTGGGTGATGCGATTTTAATATGGTTGTTGATAAATTCGCTAGATGCTTCTTGGGAGAGTACGATGAGTTATTGTGGTATTGTGGCGGCGGCATTGGTGTTCCTGTTTTGATTTCTGGTTGTTTGATGCACGGATGGAAATGTTGTAAAAATAGAAGATTGAATTTTATTGTCATGTTTTTTGAATGAAATTGATCGTTTAGATGTATGGATTAAATGATACATGCTAGCTGAATATATGCCCCTTGGATGTAAATTGAATCAATTGATGTGTTGCTCTTGTTGTTTCTTGCTTTAATATTGTATGAATCGATTATTTTTAACTGTATTTGTTACAAAGAGTAAATTCTTAGCTCTTTTTTCCATTCAGATAGTTTACTATATTTTTATAGGATAATTAGTTTGGGATTGGAGAACAATGCAATAATCCACAATATAGCATACAAGATATCAATTGCATGTGTACATGGTGTGTGTGTGTGTGTGTGTGTGGGTTGTGTGTGTGTGTGTGTGTGTGTGTGAGAGAGAGAGAGAGAGGGGAAAATAATAATAATCATTAATCATTCCCTAAACTCAACTACACCACTACTAACAACTAAAAGAGAAGCCCAAAATGTCATGAAATGGTGTTTGTTATCTAAAATTCATCAACTTAGAGCCTGAAAATTGCAAGTAATTGTAATTTAGAAAAAAACATTGGTGGTATGTGTAATACTGATTATCCACATGAAAGTAAATGTAACCAACTCCAATATTTATTCAGACTCTTCCTTTGGTGTGTTTCACTATTTTCTTCTAACAATGTATGCTATCTAAAATGCAAACATTGTTCATTTAACTTAATGACTATTGCGTAAATGTAGTTCAAGCCAAGCGAAATCTCTGCTATAATGAATGACTTCAACGAACCAGGATCCCTTGCACCCACTGGCTTGCATCTCGGGGGTACAAAATACATGGTGATCCAGGGGGAGCCTGGAGCTGTAATTCGCGGAAAGAAGGTGAGCATTTGTCTATTATTTTACTTGGAAGTTACACTTTAACGGGGTATTCTGTTTTACATCTTCATTCAATCCACGACTTTTTTTTTTCTATTATGGGAGATTTACATGCCTATCACACAATTGTATTTATATATCTCACACCTGAAATTTCATCTTTATATACATGGCATATTGGTGTTTTAAACTTATGGATAGGGTTGTAATCGTGCCGCGTTGAGTCAAGTACTTGGTCGATTCATAAGTTGTCCATATTCATTCAAGCTTGAGATGAGCTTTAACATATTTGTTTTTACTTGGCTTGCTTAAAATATTTTATGTTCATACTTGATTTGTATTTAGCTTGTTTATATTAATTAAAAAATTAAAAATTCATAAAAGTACTTAATTTTTCTTATAGAATTAAAAATTTTATTTCTACACGTTTTCTCATATAAAACTTGACAAGTATACATTTAAATGAGTATTTAATTTTTTATATAAAGTTATTAACAAATGATTTTACGAATCTAAATAAATAAATAATTGAATAAATTTCAAATTAGCATCTAACTAGTTTAGACGAAGTAAGTAAAATAATATATAAGTTATAAATAATTTTTTTTGTAGTCAAATAACATAAATAAGTACTGACAAACTAGTTCATTAAAAAAAGTATATTGAATTTATGCGCCTATTGATATTAAATTATAATATAATACTATTAAATATATTATTAAATAGTTTATAATTAATCAATTTTCATTTAAATAGTATATCATTTTAATGTTTAACATTAAACAAATTATTTTCTGAACAATAAATGAGTTTATTTATGAACATTAATACATTACCAAACGAATTGAACTATGTTCAATTTTGGTTTATTTAAACTCCGGTTTTTTTTAAAATATTCAAACTTATTTTCTTACTAATTTAAACAAACATGATCAAGAATCGAGCCGAGTTCGAGTTATTCATCAAGTGCATTGGTTCATTTACAGCCCTGCTTCTGAAAGAATTTTCCACTTTTAAAAAGTGATAATGGTGTTATTTTTGATGTGATGTTAAAGATTTAAGTATTGTGTGTAAATATGAAAGTTTTGGCGTGAGATATGTGAATATATTAGAATTGTGTGATATGTATGTGAATTCTAGCTTCCTACATGAAAATTGTTTTTATTGGAAGTATGGAGCCAAAATTTCACATGGTAAATTCCTCACAAGGTTTGATGGTTGAATCCCTTCTTTAAATATAATTTTTTGACAAATCTCTTGTTTTGTGGGTCATGAGAATATTTTCAAAATCTTGTATTATTGTAAATATTTTGAAAGGATTGTTAGTTAACTTTGTGAGATTCTGTGACATCTTAATCAACTTCAAGATATCTTTGTCATATCTTGTGTGATTCCATAATAAAATTAAGGGGCATTGACGTACATAACACACAATTCTTATGGATATATGTATCTCACACTAAAACTTTCATTTATAGACACAGAGCACTCCATTCTTTCGTATCACATAAAAAATAGCACGAATTACCACTTTTTAATAGTCAAATCCATGTTTTCATGCATAGGTAAAATGTTGTGCTTGTGAATATGAAAGTTTAGGCATGAGATATGTAAATCCATAAGAATTGCATGCTGTGTATGTTAATCTTCACAAATTTAATGTCCCAATTTTCAGAAGGAAGGATTTGGCATCCAAAAAACTTTCAACTAAGAAAGAAATGAGGAGCTCTTTTTTTTTTTTTTTTTTGTGCGTCTTTGGAGGAAAGCGCTCCTCCTCTTTCCTCATGTTTGTAGCAAGTGGTTGCATTCCATTCTCTTCTGTGTTCTTCTCCTTTTTTTTTTATCTTTAAATCCTGATTCTCATCTTAAACCGATCTGTTGCTTTCTTAAGTCTTAATTATATAAAGGATGAGTTTCTATCCCTCTAAAAAATAAAGGGTTATTTACATAAATACATCACGATTCTTATATATTTACATATCTAACACCTTAACTTTACTTTTACATTAATACACCCACATCAAAAATATCACTATTTTAACTATTAAAAAGTCAAATACACATTTTTAGGCAATAGTTAAGTTGGCATAAATGTAAAAAATGAAGTTTAGGTGTTAGATATGTAAATACAGGAATTTAAGTGGCATGCATGTAAATCATCAAAAAAGACAATAAAAGTTGCGTGATTTTGCATGTGAGCTTGTTTAATGACCTTCTATAACTTGTGTTACTTATTATTTCATGGGAAATTATTCAACATTTTTATTTAAATATCTCATTTGGATCTCTCATGTCACATAAAAAACTACCGCTATTTTAACTTTTACAAAAGTGAAATAGCACATTTCCATGCACAAGTAAGGTGACATATATGTAAAAATTAGAAGTTTTAGTTGTTAGATATGTAAATACATAGGAATTGAGTGATATGTATGTAAATCTTTCTTTGTATTTTTCACCCCCAATTGCAGGGATCAGGAGGCATCACTATTAAGAAGACCAACCAGGCCCTGATAATTGGCATCTATAATGAGCCCATGACCCCTGGACAGTGTAACATGGTCGTCGAAAGGCTGGGTGACTATCTCCTTGATCAGGGCCTCTAACTCTATTTTTCAAAAATAAAAAAATATAAAAATAAAATAAGAAATATTTCTGCAACATTCTTATAAGAGTTTATACTTGATATGTCATATAGATGGCAGATGGATCTCCATATGTTGTGTGTTGGGATTTGGTTTTCTGCCCATTTTATTTATTTATTTTTTAAGCAAATACTTGATGTCTTTTCTGATATTTTGTGTTTTGTTTGGAATCTAATTTTATGATATATTACACAACGAAGCAATGTCTGTTTATTTATTTATTTTTATTATTTTTTTTTTCTTGGTGAGAACTTTTTGGGAAATTTACTTGCAAATCTCACAATTTTTATGTATTTACACATCGAAAACCTTAAGTTTCATATTTACATGTATAATGTCTTGGTGTCATAAACCTTTGCATGACAAATGTCTTTAATGTTTCAAAAAAATATTAGTATTAGTTCTATTTTTAATGTAATGTTAAAGATTTAAGCGTCGCCTTTTTATGCATACTTAAAGTGATATAGATTTTAAAAATTAGAAGTTAAATGTTAGAAATATAAATGCATGAAAACTGCATTATGTATGTGAATCTTAAATATGTAAAATTTAGGGTGGTATTCAGAATTATTAGACACATTAGGGGTGGCTGGGTCTCTTATAATAACCTCTGGTCATTCCTTATATATATATATATATATGCATGCATGCATGTATGAAACTTCTATAAAATCAACATATTAATAATATGTTATATAAAGTGTATATTATAATTGAATGATTTAATATATACTATCATAAAATCATGCGCAGAAGGATGATTACATTAACATGCAAGAATAATCAAGAATAATGAAAAGTTTAAGGTTCAAACATTAAATAGAGTTAGAGGTTGAATATGAGTTGAATTTGATGACGTAATAAACATTAAAATTATTCTAATATGATTTCAATAATGTAATATTAATGTAGTAATGATATTTTCACATTGTAATACACAACTTTCTAATTTTGGATGCTTTATTTTTAAATATTTTGATTATAATTCAAAAATCAATATTTTGGAAAAAGATATTTTAATCATTTTCTATTTTGAATTTATATTTTTTTTTATAAGCCATCTAAACAAAATTATGTCTTCAAGTCCAAATCTTTTTCCTCTTTTAAATAGGCAGAGAAATCACAAAATTTAACTTCGATGGTAAGAAACTATTTGTTACATGACAATTGTGCCTCACAAACAAAACATTATCGTTCTAAGCTCCAACGCATTCGACACAAACCCGAAGCCTGCATAATAAATGAAATCTTAGTGTTCCAAACACTTTATGGTCACTCAACAATTATCACCTAATATATTTTCAAAATTTCAATAATTTTGAGTTAGACATTGATATATTTTAGAACTTGAGCATAAGTTATATCTATGAAGCCTTATTGTCAATGAACATTTAGAGTTGTGAGTAGACCTATATTAGTGGTTAGACAATAGTAGCATTAAGAGGGGAGCATTGATTGATATTAATTGACTTTATATACCATGTGACAATGATAGAGATATGTATGTAGTGGGTTGATGTGCATAAAGAAATGTTGACTATAATCATCAATAGTTAACATCAATATTGATGATTGCCATTCAATTTGATATTGTTTATTAAATGATATTGCTAGCCAATTGCGAGTTGTAATACTTGGCTCAACCTATAGTTGGAGGTTTATGATGTACTAATTAATGTTGGTTTGGGTAACATAAATTTTCTTATGAGTTACTAATACTAAATTGTTTAGGCATAAAAGAATGATAGTGAATTGTATTAGAAAATAATGAAAACAACTAATAATGGAAGTTTGTTTCATTATTTCATAAAATCACTACAAACTATAAAATTTTCATAAATTTTAATTTGTAATTACTATAATAGAATAAATTTACATACTTGGAAAAAATATTTATGCAACATATATTATAATAAAATAACATTTAACATACAACAAACGCTATGATATTAAACTTGGCTAATAAACAATTATTTCAAATTAATGTAAAATCATTATATCATTCTTAAAAAAATGATATTTTACCTAAACTTAAGTAAATTATACAATGTTTTATTAATTACTCATGTATTATTTAATCTCAAATTAGATTTAAGGACTTTGAGGCCTAACCTTGTAGCGTGCAAGATAACTTGCAACAATATATTAAGATATTTAACATCTTAGCATTATATATAGATCTTGGATATATACAGATAAAAGAATAGTTGAATGGGAGACACTAAAATTTTTACGTGAAAACCCCAAAAATGAAAATTCATGTGTATTGACTCAATTGAAATAATTCCAATAATATATATTATAGATGATAAAGATGTCATTTTCCATAATTGGTGGACACATTGATACATCATAGTCAACATGAATTACATTAAATAAGGCTAGAATTGCTGGGAGGGTGGATCAATAGATTAAAAATTTTAGTGCAGCATTAGTTTGGATGGCATGCTTTTGCTATGTTAGTGACTTTGTTCATCGATAGTGCTGGAAACAATGAGCAACTAGGGCAAAGTGAATGTTTCTGTTGATGAATGATGGTGGCTAGATGATTGTGATCAAATGACTATGGTAAGTAGACTATAAACAAACAACTGTACTTGAATATATGATTGTAGCTAAGTCAAAAATGTCATGCAATTATATTTGGGCAATAAAGATCGAGTGGTTATAATTTGGTGATGGAGATTAAGAGGTTGTAAATATTTTTTTTGTAGTGAAGTGCTTGTTGATGAGTGCTTGAAGGTCGAAAAATTACAGTTGGGCAATAAAAGTTGAGTGCTTGTAGTCTAGTGATAAGGGTTTGGAAGTTGTAGGGCAATCATTGTCAAGCAGCTGGAGCTGGAAGATATGTCGCCGATGTTTCAAAGCTAATGGTTGGATGATAATGATCTGACGAATGTGGGCTAATAGCAATGGTTTGAAGGTGATGTTTAGATAACTAGTTCAGCATCAGTGATTGATTGTGATAGTCAAAATGATAAATGCCAGATTATGATGATATAATGAGGTGGTCCATCAACGGAGGTTTTATGTTGGGGTTGGATGGCGAGAACTCAATGGCAATGAACTAGCCGCGATGTTCTAATCGTGACAGTTAGATTTTGGGTGGCCTAATAATGTCATTCAAATGATAGTGGTTTGTTGGTGGTTGAATAATGATGATCCATTGGTGGTGTTTTGGTGAGGATATTATGACTATGGTGGTAGGACGATGATGATTAAATAGCAGTGGCAGTTTGATAGTGGATTGGTGGTGGTTTTTCAGTCATAATGATTGGATGAAGGTAGTATACCGGTGGTGGAACATCAATGTTGGTCCAGGGGTGATTGTCATGTAATGATAGTCTGGCGACGAGAAAGATAGGGTAGTAGTGTTTTGCCATTTTTGTGATGATAGTGACAGTGAATGGTTTAATAACAACATCCGGGCGACTCTGTTCTGACATTGTCGAACTAATGGAGCTTATGAATCCTTCAATCCTTAAAGATTTCTTAAATCTGCTCATTACAGTCTCAATCGCTCCCTTTAAATGAAGAGAATGTATGTCTATATAATTTATAAGTAACATTATTCATAAATACCATCTGAATCCATACGACCCGGTGTGATTTTCTCAATTCTACAAAATCTTTTGATTGGTTGAGTGTCTTAGTAATGTTGAAATTTAGTGATCATTTTCTCATTAAATTTGTCTTATCAAGATATTCAATTTGCTTATAAGATTTTCATATCTAAAGATCATTTAGTCCTCTAATTGATTTTTAATCATAACATTTTGATTCAAATTATTTCCTATTAAATGTATCATAATATCATAATGCATTAAAATTGATATTTTATTTTCTTAATCAAAATATGATTTTTTTGATGTGATATAAAGCATATTGGTGGTATAAATATAAAAGTAAAGTTTAGGTGTCATCATTTATGCAAATGTATAAGAATTGGGTGGTATGTACGTAAACACCCCAAATTACAAACTTTACAAAACATATCAAAATCAAACTATTTGTATACACAATTTTCAACATCACCAAATTTCTAATCTACTAATTATCAAACAACATACTGAAACAACTTCAGAACTACACAATAAATAAAATAAAGTTTCTTTTCTTATCAGCGATTTTCATTCAATTTCAAAGTTCAATCCTCTGCAACATTTTATGATTATCTACAAAAATTAAAGACAAAAAGTAACAAAATTAAAATATACTTCCATGAGCATTAGTAGCAACTTAATATAAGAAAATAGATGGAAAAAGGTGGGTGAAGATAGAGCTGTGAAACCCCTGAACGTAGAATGAAGCTGTGCTGTTAAACATCGAGTCATCATTTGGTGTAACATTGGGAATCTCATAAGAAAAAAAAACTCTGAAGTTAGCCATGGTTGTATGAGAGCATTCATAGGATGGGTAATGTTCTGAAAACATTAAGCCAAAGTGTGCATTATCTTCATAGGTGAGAGTTGTGGTCGTTACAAAAAACCTCTATTTTCTGAAAAAGGCAAATTAGGTGCATATATTGGGCCTCCCATGATTCCTTTGGTTTTGCATTAGCTTCAAAAGACCTTTTTCTTCAAGGAAGAGTGAGCGATCGAACCCAACTCATTATTTACCTTCATTTCATTTTGAATCAATGCACGTGTGTTTAACATAACTCTTTTTGTGCTCGAATGTATAGCACATTGGTTGAAAATAATGTTAAAAATTCTATGATATAAGATTCGAGCACTAACTTTACCCGAAAAATGCACATCTCTCTTTAGATTTGAGCATGGATTGTGGCTCTTAGTTGAATAAAGCTTTGCTTGATTAGTGTTGCTGACAAAAGCATGTTTCTCAGTATTTAACTACTCATACATCTTCTGCAAAGCTTTCTTCCTCTTCATTCTTCTAAAAAAACATCCACTTGATGGCTCATATGTTGAGGCAAATGACTTTATCTAAGTAGGGCTAATAGCCACACGTTTCTCAAGGCTTGATCCTACAGAACCCTCCAAAAAACCTATCTTCCTCTTCAACCTTCTCTGTAAAAATCCTCTATTATGTTCCTCTTCATTATGAACTTTCTTAGCGTTTGCTGTGGTGCTCGGATACGAAGATTGAACTCCTCTGTAACCTTCTGGAAAAACAAAGGAAGGGATTTTCATCCTTGGAACATGGTAGACATAAATCTCCATGCCCGGCCTCCAGAACATATACATGTTTACAAAATGCTTGAATTCATTCACAACAAGCCGTATATCAAAATGCTGACCTTCTTCAACCTTCACTCCCTGTTTTCTTCGCAATCCCATGAAAAATGCACAGTGAGCCCCACACACAGAAGCATCATTATACTCAACAGGATGAGGGTGACACTGCAACATACCACAAGTGTCCTGCTCAATCTGCATAAATATGGTGGTATGTTATGTAAAAATTGAAAATTATATTGTTAGATATGTAAGTACATGGGAATTGAGTAGTATGTCTGTAAATCTTTCTAAGAATAGTCAGCAACCATAGCCTAAAGAAAACGTTAAGAATACTAATGTTAAGAAAGATGGATTAACCAAAGTCATTAAACATAAAATACTAACAAAGAGCTCCAAATCATGAGTTAATTAAAAATTAAATAAAATTACCTTAAGAGTGAGCTGCCTCAAACGAGATGCGACCCATCCCTTCCAAATACGCAGATCATCTGTATTTAAGGCGAACATGTCCACCTGAAGAAAATTCTTATATGCCTCAAAGAACTTGTAAGGTTCAAATAATGCACCCCATATGGCATTGTTCAGCTCAATCTCCTGCAAAATAAATAATTAATTAATTACATAAATAATCCCAGCTCACGATCTAACGAATCAAGTCTGGGCAGACTTAGACTTAAACTTCACCTATTACGTCATCGAGCTCAGCTCGTGATCCCATCATCGAGCTGAGCCCGATCGAGCCTGCTCATGAGCCGACTTGACTCTGTAACATGTCTGCCCACAAACCAAATATAATTACCTCACAAATCTTGTTTCCAAACTGGAACTGTTCGTTCAAAATTCTTAGGGTGCTGGTGGATACATTGTAGCTTGAATTCATGCTGGGATATGCAGGAGTGATGATAGGCATATGATGAGTTCTATCCTTAGGGTTTTTACGTGGATCCCAAACAGGAAAGCCAAGTTCATCATCTTGAATTCTACATAGCATCACAGGATTCGGCCATTTCCATTGTGTATATACCCTAAAAAAACGGCATACTAACATGCTAGGTGAAGCATTTGGGTATAGTTGACACACACGAGCCACCAGTAAAGCCCAATTAATGCCACCAAGAAATCCAGTTACCTTGCAAGATAAAGGTTAGTAATGGTTTAGGGTTTTGTAGATGAAGAGGACATATGGCACAAATACTATATATTTGCATGGCTAACACCAAAATGTTACATTTTTATAGTTATACTATTGAAATCTTTCATATCATGTCAAAGATACAATCATTTTAACTTTAAAAGTGAAATACTCCATTTCATGCATAGGTAAGGAAGGTATGATGTGTATAAACATTTAATTTTAGGTATTAGATATGTAAATACATTGGAATTAAGTGATATGTATGTAAATCTTTCATTAAAAAAAAAGTAAGAAAAAAATCACTTACATTTGAATAGACTTCGCGAATTTTAGCCCAGTGTCTTAAGCATCTCAGAGTTGTTCGGAAATTCTAAGGAAAAATATATTTAAAATAAATAAACCAAATTTTATAACTCGAAGAATTAAGTTAATATATTAAATAACAGCCAAAAGTATTGACCTCCACATTAGGTACAAGTTGAAGAATTTGGTCAGCAACCCTACAGCCATTAAGGCTTCGAACGGTTTGTTCGTCGACATTATATAGAACAGAATCATTAGATATATCCAAGTCCTGTATAGATTTTGTTAAGAGTGAAAAATGAGAATAAATGCATGCAATTGCAAGAAACAATATTGGCATCCAATTTAGATTACTAAGTGCAAAATTCAACAGTTGTTAACCATTAAAATAAGCAAAAGTTGTTTAGTAAACAAAAAATATTCGCTACATGTCAACTTCAGTTTCTAATACAACTTGCAAACTGAAAAAATTTAACAACCACATAGAGCTCACATAAACGACAAGAACCAAAATATTTCATAATCACACAAATGAGATCTAGCCAATGCACCTTTCATTAATTTCAATGGTAATCATATAAAAGGGTAACATATGAGACAACTCTAAAAAAATGAAGATGATAGAGTATTTTAAGGGCTACTAATCTATGAGATGACCTAATTCTTTCTTCAACATGCTTCATTGTGTGAGCAAGGTCTAGGTTTGTCATGCAAAACAATTTTGGATGAAGAATTAGAATGCTTATTTTATTAATTAAATTGGCCTTTTTTTACTAATCAGTTCATTCTTGCCATTTACAACCATACCAGTCCAATTTTATTTGGTTGCAAACTAACAATAAGTTATCTTTCATTGAAATGAAAAAAACATATATACAAATAAGATTGAAGCCATCTTTCACTGAAACAATATTGGAAAAATTGCAAAAAGGCATTAATTCAAACAAATAAAAACCAAATCAAGATATTCCATATTTTACTTCATTCATTAAGGTTCATAGATGAATAGAAGCCAACAAAGTAAAATTTAAACTACAATGTGCACTGATAATTGATATATCTAACTAGTAAGTTTGCAAATATTAAAAAAAGTGTAAAAAACAAAAGTGTCTTCTGAGTGAAGATCACCAGTATGATCGTTCAACAAAGACTTACTTCCGGAACTACAAGCAACGATATGCTTGCATACAGAAGGTCAATCGATATCCCATTAAACTTGAACTTCATAACAGGAACATGAGCGTCAGGTATGGCTTGAAGCTCAGTAACATCTTCCATTGTAGTCAAAATTTCATACAGAATAATGAAAAAATCCTCCTGCCCAACATCAGATAGCTTGTTAATTCCACATATTCAAAGCCAAAAAATAGAAAACCTTAATCATATAAGTATTAAACCTCTCTATTAACATAGGAGGGGCCAACACACAGTGCATCAATATCAGCTCCAGGTGTATGGACCTATTGCGCCAACAATTAACAAAAGAAAATCACTTGTGTTATGATATAAATAATACAGAATAAACAAATTGGTCATTACTCACCCCCAGCCGATAAGAACCAAATGTGAGGATGATAGCATTTGCTTTCTCAACAATTTGCTCCGTGTATCCTCGCACAACTGTTAGTTGCTTCACCCAATTTTTTACAATCTGTCGGAAGCATGATAATATAGCACATATTTAATTAATACTAATGAAATTGATATCTTATTAATTGTTTTTCTCCATTCTAACCTTTTATGTATGACATGGTACATATCAAATGGAAAAGTTAGAGCCCTTGTTAATTTAAAATAGGAACATAAAATGAAGAATAAGTATAAAGGATACATGATCTAGTTGCCCTAAGACTCTCTCTCTCCATATTGTTTCTTCCTTGCTTTCATATAAATTTGCCTCTTCTAAGAACTTGACAAAAAAAAAAACAAATCAGGAGAGGCATTGAAAGAACAAAAAAATTAAGAGTAGTGAGAATGAAAAAAATTCGAAGTCAACATACCTTCTCTAATTCCAAAGTTCTATGAAGATCTGTTTGAGTTGGCCTAGCCAATGAAATTGGTTTCGTCACACCATATTGCGTTGAGGTTGGCGCCTCATCACCTTTAGTGGTCGAACATCCCATCGTTGAAACACAGAAGTAAAGGAACTCGAAAGGCCTTCTTCAATGCAAGTAAAATTTATTTTAAGTAGAATTGAGTAAATCTTGTAAATTCAAATTGAGGGGTGTTTGGTTGCATGAAGGATTTAGCGTTAGTAGGATTTAGTAATTCTGGATTTATTAAATCCACCCCCTTGTTGGATTTATTAAATCAGAATTTAACATGAATCGAAGCCAAAATTCAGACCTTAAATCCGAAATTTCATAAATTCATGAAACTTGCATTTTTTTTTTTTTAATGTTTGATTGGATTTAGAAAATTCGATTAATAAGTTCTGTTAATATGGTGCTACTAAACACCCCCTTACATACGATGGTAATTAAATCTTAAAAATTGTTAAGTAGATTGTTAGGTTCTTCTTTTTGTAGGGTTATATATTCTTCTCTTGTAATAACCCTTCTAAGAAGCTATATGATAACGGCTTTAGTAGTTTTAGTAAATCCTGTAAATTTGAATTTACTAAAAGCTGCCAAAGCAAAATTTAATAAATTTGAGATTTAACGCAAAACAAAGGAGATGTTAAGAAGGAATTGGATTCACTAAAAAATTAAAAATTCAATCTTTCTAAAATCCGTCACCATACAATCCTAAAAAATGCTTCAAGATAATTCTAAGACGGTCTTTGATAGCATCCTATTTATCGGATTTAACTTAAAATCCAATTTTTTAGCATTTCGTTTTCTTCTTTTCTGACTCCCTCACTTAGATAATGTAAATCCGAGTACAAGACGGCTGATTTATTCGGCCGTTTACGAACAGAATCATTGCAGTATGACGAATGTAGCTCGCGTATGGACGACGTACGTAAAATTTTCTTTGGCACTGCCTAAAAGGTACTGTATCTATAAGATTGACATAAATAATGTTTGAGGCAAAGAATTCATGCCGGGCGCAAACGTCAACAGCAAATATATACGTTAAATAAGAAAAATCATAAATTTATATCGTCGCCCAAAATCACGCAGCAAGAGACAGCGAAAGCTTAACGAGATTACCGTTCAAAGAAAAAGAAAAAAAAAACCTGACTTTTAGCACAGAAAGATCCTCAGAAAGTCGTAGATGCTATCAGAAGGCTTAGAGCGATTCCCAAACCGTGATTCCAAACGGGGTTCTGAAACTCTTAATCCATAAAAAAATACGTTTTTGAAGCGAGTGCCATTAACAGAGAGGGAGAGGGAGAGAGAGGCAAGGGGAGGGAGAGAGGAGATGGAGAGCGAAATAATAGAGAGAGGAGAGGGAGAGGGAGAGAGACAAGTGGGTGGAATGCATGGCAGGACGTTTGAGAACTAGAAATCTATTCAAATATTCTTCTCCTAAAGTTTGGGGTCTTCTCTCCATTAGTCTACGACCACCTCACATTTATTGGTTTTGTTGCTGAGTAACGAGCTAAAAATACATGATTTCATCATCTGTTGCATGCTTTGATTTATGAGATTGACTTTTTCTAAGCTAGAGGTTCTTCATTAACGAAATGAACGCGCGCTAAAACAAATCCATTTATAGCCAACTTATAATGGATTTCTGGCTATTTATTTAGAGAGGAATTTCAAGATCTTCTCGGGCATAAACATTCAACTATGAGTTGGTGATTACAAGTTTATAAGTACAACTCCTTATCCCACATGCATGAAAGTGTTACACAGTTTTTCGAGTTACAACGTTCGGGCACAGAAAAACTCGGTGCTTCAGAGTAGGGAGCGGTCGCAATGAGAAGTAATTGATGAAGGTTTAGTATAGTGTCTTCAGGGTCTGCCTGATGTTTGAGATGGAGCACAGCTTCACAGGTTGTTACATGCTTCTGCGGGGTCGTTTGTTGCTTCACACGGAGTTTCACCGCCGTAAGGAGTGAGCAATAGCTAATGGTGGTCGGCAGAGGCTCGCGAACTACAGTTTGTGGCTACAATATACTGAAAATAATAACCTGTTTGTCGGTGTTGAATAATGCGCTTCAACTCCTTCCTCTCTAGGCTCTAATTTTCCTTTAGGTCCAGTCCCCTTCTCATAAGCGGGTCGAGTTTTATTTATGGAGTTCATATTACAAATAAAGAAGAAATTTGGATTCCCTTGATAAAATGATATTCTTTTGAACTTTAACCGTCCTAGTGATGGGTGAATTAAGTGATCTTGAGCTCGTTGGATTAGTCATGTTGAGACGCTCAAATTGACTATCAACATATCATATTTGAAATCTATTTGATCTTCTAATTATGCATTGAAAGCTTCCAAAAGTAGTTTAACATACAACTTGATCTGAGTTTGATTTAACTTGAATTGAACCAATTTTGTATCATGGGTACGCCTCTTTAAGCCAGTCATTTGAATATAAGTTTCCTGACATCAGAATTTTGAATGACTTTTAATCAAGGTTTGAACGATTATTGTTCAAAAAATTGTCTCAAGCTTCGTGTCACACCCTGAGGTTCGTGTCTTAAACTGGGGTAAGAATATAATTATACTATTATCCTCCCTTTATAAATAAGGAAAACATTTTATGAAGAATCAAAACTCTTGAGTACTATTCACTACGGTCCATCTCTGTCTCATTCTCTTTTTCTCTCTCTTTTTATTTATCCTCTATTTCTTAAGTGTGATTCACACACAATCTCGAATTCAACACAAATAAATTAGCCTTCGAGTATAAAGAATCGACATCATTCTTCTCTTTATTTTGAGCAATTAGAGTTGAACACAAATTTGCTTTATATTTTGATAATTTTCTAAAAAATAGTTTTGAGGATGAAATTGGACTATAGTTTTATATAATTGATGCATTTTTTTCTTAGGGAGAATTACACACATAGCACCCAAATCTTATAGATTTACAATTAAAATTAAAAAAATAATAATAAAGAAAATACATTTGTTTTTGCCATGGTATAAGTCTTCTTCTTCATTTACATGGATTTCTTTTTTGAAAATAAGGAGTTGTTGAAAATGATTTTCTTTGGCATTTTCATATATACCACACAATTCCTATCAATTTACATATCTAAC